ACCCCAATACACCCCAATACACCCTCAATACACCCCAATACACCTCAATACACCCCAATACACCCTCAATACACCCCAATACACCCCAATACACCCCAATACACCCCATTACACCCCATTACACCCCAATACACCTCAATACACCCCAATACACCCTCAATACACCCCATTACACCCCAATACACCCCCAATACACCCCAATACACCCCCAATACACCCCCAATACACCCCAATACACCCCAATACACCCCAATACACCCCAATACACCCCCAATACACCCCAATACACCCACAATACACCCCAATACACCCCATTACACCCCATTACACCCCATTACACCCCATTACACTCCCATTACACCCCATTACACCCCATTACACCCCTCCCCGTGTGTTGTGTCACCCCTCCAGAACCAGAAACCCACGTCGGAGGAGATCCTCTTGATCGCGGAACAGCTCCACATGGAGAAGGAAGTGATCCGGGTTTGGTTCTGCAACCGGCGGCAGAAGGAGAAGCGCATCAATCCCTGTGGGGCCGCCGGGACCCCCATCTCCGGCCCCACAAGTAAAGCACCACTCTACAGCCCGCATATGGTGAGGGATGAAAGGGGGGTAATGGGGTCTCTATGGGGATGGGGGGAAAGGGGGGGGATATGGGGACGTATATGGGTTATGGGGCGTGTCTGGGATATGGGGCGTATATGGGATATGGGGCTTATATGGGGTATGGGGCTTATATGGGCTATGGGGCGTATATGGGATATGGGGCTTATATGGGATATGGGGTCTATATGGGATATGGGGCTTATATGGGGTATGGGGCTTATATGGGGTATGGGGCTTATATGGGATATGGGACTTATATGGGTTATGGGGGCTATATGGGATATGGGGCTTATATGGGATATGGGGCGTATATGGGATATGGGGCTTATATGGGATATGGGGCGTATATGGGTTATGGGGCTTATATGGGATATGGGGCGTATATGGGATATGGGGGCTATATGGGGTATGGTGGCTATATGGGGTATGGGGCTTATATGGGATATAGGGCCTATATGGGATATGGGGTCTATATGGGATATGGGGCTTATATGGGTTATGGGGGCTATATAGGTTATGGGGCCTATATGGGATATGGGGGCTATATGGGATATGGGGCTTATATGGGGTATGGGGGCTAGATGGGGTATGGGGCTTATATGGGATATGGGGCTTATATGGGATATGGGGCTAATATGGGTTATGGGGCTTATATGGGTTATGGGGCGTATATGGGATATGGGGCTTATATGGGATATGGGGCGTATATGGGTTATGGGGCTTATATGGGATATGGGGCGTATATGGGATATGGGGGCTATATGGGGTATGGGGGCTATATGGGGTATGGGGCTTATATGGGATATAGGGCCTATATGGGATATGGGGTCTATATGGGATATGGGGCTTATATGGGTTATGGGGGCTATATAGGTTATGGGGCCTATATGGGATATGGGGGCTATATGGGATATGGGGCTTATATGGGTTATGGGGGCTATATGGGATATGGGGCTTATATGGGGTATGGGGCGTATATGGGTTATGGGGCTTATATGGGTTATGGGGGCTATATGGGATATGGGGCTTATATGGGATATGGGGCTTATATGGGGTATGGGGGCTATATGGGTTATGGGGGCTATATGGGTTATGGGGCTTATATGGGTTATGGGGCTTATATGGGATATGGGGCGTATATGGGTTATGGGGCTTATATGGGATATGGGGCGTATATGGGTTATGGGGCTTATATGGGATATGGGGCGTATATGGGGTATGGGGTCTATATGGGATATGGGGCTTATATGGGATATGGGGCTTATATGGGTTATGGGGCGTATATGGGATATGGGGCTTATATGGGTTATGGGGGCTATATGGGATATGGGGCTTATATGGGGTATGGGGCGTATATGGGATATGGGGCTTATATGGGATATGGGGTCTATATGGGATATAGGGCCTATATGGGATATGGGGTCTATATGGGATATGGGGCTTATATGGGTTATGGGGGCTATATAGGTTATGGGGCCTATATGGGATATGGGGTCTATATGGGATATGGGGCTTATATGGGGTATGGGGGCTAGATGGGGTATGGGGCTTATATGGGATATGGGGCTTATATGGGTTATGGGGCTTATATGGGATATGGGGCTAATATGGGGTATGGGGTCTATATGGGATATGGGGCTTATATGGGATATGGGGCTTATATGGGGTATGGGGCGTATATGGGATATGGGGCTTATATGGGATATGGGGCTTATATGGGATATGGGGCTTATATGGGATATGGGGCTTATATGGGTTATGGGGTGCATATGGGTTATGGGGCTTAGATGGGATATGGGGTCTATGGGATATGGGGTCTATATGGGATATGGGGTCTATATGGGCTCTGGGTCCTATAGGACCACATGGACCTATATGGAACCCTGGGGCCTATATGGGGTCTGGGTCCCCCCCATATGATTCCTGTCCCTATATGACCCCATATCCCCCCCATATGATCCCTGTCCCTATATGACCCCATATCCCTCTATGGCCCCATAGAGCCCCCATATGATCCCTGTCCCTATATGACCCCATATCCCTCTATGGCCCCATATAGGCCCCATATGATCCTTGTCCCTATATGACCCCATGTCCCTATATGGCCCCATATAGCCCCCATATGGTCCCTGTCCCTATATGGCCCCATAGCCCCATATAGCCCCATATCCCCCCCATATAATCCCTGTCCCTATATGACCCCATGTCCCTATAGGGCCCCATATCCCCATATAGCCCCCATATAATCCCTGTCCCTATATGACCCCATATCCCTATATGGCCCCATATAGCCCCCATATGATCCCTGTCCCTATATGCCCCCATGTCCCTATATGCCCCACATCCCTATATGACCCCATATCCCCATATAGCCCCATATCCCCCCCATATGATCCCTGTCCCTATACGACCCCTACCCCCTATAGGTCCCATCCTGTCTCCCATCCACCCCATAGGCCCTGTCCTCCTCTGACCCCACACCCCTCTCTATCCCCTATAGGGTCCCTCTATATCCCCTATAGGGGCCCTATAGACCCCTATAGGGTCCCTATAGCCTCCCCATAGCCCTATATGGTCCCTATATGTCCCCCCCCCAGGTGACCAGCCTCCCGCTGCCCCCGGCCTCCAGCAGCCTCAGCACAACAGGTTGGCCCCATATAATCGCCCTATAGGGCCCTATAGGGTCCCTATGGGGTGGGGGGGGTGGTTATGGGGTGGGGGGGGTGGTTATGGGGTGGGGGGGGTGGTTATGGGGTGGGATAGGGGGGGTTAAAGGGGAAGGGGGCATAAGCATCCTATAGGGCATCCTCAAACCCTATGGATGGAGGACTTGCATGAATGGAGCTATGGGGCTGAGAGTGAATGTATAGGGTGGCTATGGGGCGGGGGGTATGGGGTGGGGGGTATCATAAAGGGGGGGGACCCCAAATATTCTATAGGGCCCACATCAACCCCATTGTTTCTATGGGGCAGACATCAACCCCATTGTTTCTATGGGCCCCACATCGACCCCATTGTTTCTATGGGGCCCACATCAACCCCATTGTTTCTATGGGGCCCACACAAACCCCATTGTTTCTATGGGCCCCACATCCACCCCATTGTTTCTATGGGGCCCACATCAACCCCATTGTTTCTATGGGACCCACATCAACCCCATTGTTTCTATGGGCCCCACATCAACCCCATTGTTTCTATGGGGCCCACATCAACCCCATTGTTTCTATGGGACCCACATCGACCCCATTGTTTCTATGGGGCCCACATCAACCCCATTGTTTCTATGGGCCCCACATCAACCCCATTGTTTCTATGGGCCCCACATCAACCCCATTGTTTCTATGGGCCCCACATCCACCCCATTGTTTCTATGGGGCCCACATCGACCCCATTGTTTCTATGGGACCCACATCCACCCCATTGTTTCTATGGGCCCCACATCCACCCCATTGTTTCTATGGGGCCCACATCAACCCCATTGTTTCTATGGGCCCCACATCAACCCCATTGTTTCTATGGGCCCCACATCAACCCCATTGTTTCTATGGGCCCCACATCAACCCCATTGTTTCTATGGGGCCCACATCAACCCCATTGTTTCTATGGGCCCCACATCAACCCCATTGTTTCTATGGGGCTCACATCAACCCCATTGTTTCTATGGGACCCACATCCACCCCATTGTTTCTATGGGCCCCGCATCGCCCCCATTGTTTCTATGGGGCTCACATCAACCCCATTGTTTCTATGGGGCCCACATCAACCCCATTGTTTCTATGGGCCCCACATCCACCCCATTGTTTCTATGGGCCCCACATCCACCCCGTTGTTTCTATGGGACCCACATCAACCCCATTGTATCTATGGGGCCCACATCCACCCCATTGTTTCTATGGGACCCACATCCACCCCATTGTTTCTATGGGGCCCACATCAACCCCATTGTTTCTATGGGGCCCACATCAACCCCATTGTTTCTATGGGACCCACATCAACCCCATTGTTTCTATGGGCCCCACATCCACCCCATTGTTTCTATGGGGCCCACATCCACCCCATTGTTTCTATGGGCCCCACATCAACCCCATTGTTTCTATGGGCCCACATCCGCCCCATTGTTTCTATGGGGCCCACATCAACCCCATTGTTTCTATGGGACCCACATCAACCCCATTGTTTCTATGGGACCCACATCAACCCCATTGTTTCTATGGGACCCACATCAACCCCATTGTTTCTATGGGACCCACATCAACCCCATTGTTTCTATGGGACCCACATCCGCCCCATTGATTCTATGGGCCCCACATCCGCCCCATTGTTCCCATACAGTTCCTACCTTGACCTCCACATCTGGGGCCCAGCGGGGGGGGGGGCCCCCCGTTACCCCTCCCCCCACCACCACCACCAGCACAAGCACCCCCACCCCCCCCAGCGGCGCCGTGGGGCTGAGCCTGAGCCCGGGGTGAGTTGGGGGGCAGGGGGTGACCTATAGATGGGGGGTGACCTATATATGGGGGGTGACCTATAGATGGGGGGTGACCTATATGGGGGGGTGACCTATATATGGGGGGTGACCTATATATGGGGGGTGACCTATATATGGGGGTGACCTATATATGGGGGTGGCCTTTATGTGGGGGGTGACCTATATATGGGGGGTGACCTATATATGGGGGGTGACCTATATATGGGGGTGACCTATATATGGGGGTGACCTATATATGGGGGTGACCTATATATGAGGGGTGACCTATATATGGGGGGTGACCTATATATGGGGGGTGACCTATATATGGGGGGTGACCTATATATGGGGGGTGACCTATATATGTGGGGTGACCTATATATGTGGGGTGACCTATATATGGGGGGTGACCTATATATGGGGGGTGACCTATATATGGGGGTGACCTATATGGGGGTGACCTATATATGGGGGGTGAGCTATATATGGGGGGTGACCTATATATGGGAGTGACCTATATATGGGGGGTGCCCTATAGATGGGGGGTGCCCTATATATGGGGGGTGCCCTATAGATGGGGGGTGACCTATATATGGGGGTGACCTATATATGGGGGTGACCTATATATGGGGGGTGACCTATATATGGGGGTGACCTATATATGGGGGGTGACCTATATATGGGGGGTGACCTATATATGTGGGGTGACCTATATATGGGGGGTGAGCTATATATGGGGTTGACCTATATATGGGGGGTGCCCTATATGGGGGGGTGACCTATATATATGGGGGTGAGCTATATATGGGGGGTGACCTATATATGGGGGTGGCCTATATGTGGGGGGTGACCTATATATGGGGGGTGACCCATATATGTGGGGTGCCCTATATATGGGGGGTGACCTATATGGGGGGGCTGCCCTATATATTGGGTAGTGCCCCATATATTGGGGGCTGTGCCCCACATATCGGGGGCCGTGCCCCACATATAGGGGTCTGTGCCCCACATATTGGGGTCTGTGCCCCACATATAGGGGTCTGTGCCCCACATATAGGGGGCCGTGCCCCACATATAGGGGTCTGTGCCCCACATATCGGGGGCCGTGCCCCACATATAGGGGTCTGTGCCCCACATATAGGGGTCTGTGCCCCACATATTGGGGGGGCCTTGAGCATCCCCCCCATTGGCTTTGCAGCAGCTCAGTGCTTGGGGTGAGCGCGGGGCTCATGGCCACCAACCCGCTGGCCACCATCCAAGGTGCGTGTGGGGCGCGTGTGGGGCGCATGTGGGGCGCATGTGGGGCATGGATGGGGCATGCATGGGGCATGTATGGGGCATGTATGGGACACATATGGGGCATGGATGGGGCACGTATGGGGCATGGATGGGGCGCATGTGGGGCACGTGTGGGGCGCGTGTGGGGCGCATGTGGGGCACATGTGGGGCGCGTGTGGGGCATGGATGACGCATGTATGGGACACATATGGGGCATGGATGGGGCACGTATGGGGCATGGATGGGGCGCATGTGGGGCACGTGTGGGGCGCGTGTGGGGCGCATGTGGGGCACGTGTGGGGCGCGTGTGGGGCATGAATGAGGCATGGATGGGGCACGTGTGGGGCACATATGGGGCACGTATGGGGCACGTATGGGGCATGTATGGGGCGTGTATGGGGCATGTATGGGGCACGTATGGGGCACGTATGGGGCATGTGTGGGGCATGTATGGGGCACCTATGGGGCACGTATGGGGCACGTATGGGGCATGTATGGGGCATGTATGGGGCACGTATGGGGCATGTGTGGGGCACGTGTGGGGCACGTATGGGGCACGTGTGGGGCACATATGGGGCACATATGGGGCATGTATGGGGCATGTGTGGGGCGCGTATGGGGCACATATAGGGCACATATGGGGCACGTGTGGGGCACGTATGGGGTGTAATGGGTGCCCCTGTGCTTGTGCAATACTAACCCCCCCTTGCTCACTAACTGCATGCTATGGCTATAGGGGGGGCACCTATAGGAAGGGGGTCTATGGGTCCCTATGGGGGGTCTATGGGGGTCTATGGGGGTCTATGGGGGTCTATGGGGGGTCTATGGGGGTCTATGGGGGGTCTATGGGGGTCTATGGGGGTCTATGGGGGTCTATGGGGGTCTATGGGGGGTCTATGGGGGTCTATGGGGGGTCTATGGGGGTCTATGGGGTCTATTGGGGTCTATAGAGGGGTCTATGTGGGGCTCTATGGGGCGTCTATGGGGGTCTATAGGGGGGTCTGTGGGGGATCTATGGGGGTCTATGGGGGTCTATGGGGGGTCTATTGGGGTCTATGGGGGGTCTATGGGGGGTCTATGGGGGTCTATGGGGGGGTCTATGGGGGTCTATGGGGGTCTATGGGGGTCTATGGGGGGTCTATGGGGCATCTATGGGGGGGTCTATGAGGGTCTATGTGGGGTCTTTAGAGGGGTCTATGGGGGCGTCTATGGGGTTATATGGGAGGCTCGATTGGGAGCCTATGGGGAGGTCTATAGGGTTTCTATAGGGGGTTTATATGGGGTCTATAGGTGCTCTATAGGGGGTCTATAGGGGGTCTATAGGTGGTCTATAGGGTTTCTATAGGGTTTCTATAGGGGTTTATATGGGGTCTATAGGTGGTCTATAGGGTTTCTATAGGGGTTCTATAGGGTCCTATACTGGTTCTATAGGGCATCTATAGGGTTTCTATAGGGGCTCTATAGGGGGTATATAGGGTTTCTATAGGGCTTCTATAGTCTTTCTTTAGGGGTTCTATAGGGGCTCTGCAGGGGTTCTATAGGGGTTCTATAGGGGGTCTATATGGGGGCTATAGGGGTCTATAGGGTTCTATAGGGGGTCTATAGAGTTTCTATAGGGGTTCTATAGGGCTTCTATAGTGTTTCTATAGGGCGTCTGTAGGGTTTCTATAAGGGGTCCATAAGGGCTCTATAGTCTTTCTATAGGGGGTCTATAGGGCATCTATAGGGGTTTCTATAGGATGACTATAGGGGTTCTATGGGGTCCTATAGGTGGTCTATATGGTTTCTATAGGGGTTTCTATAGGGTTTCTATAGGGGTTTCTATGGGATTTCTATGGGGTTCTATAGGGGTTCCATAGGGTTTCTATAGGGGTTTCTATAGGGTTTCTATAGGGGTTCCATAGGATTTCTATAGGGTTTCTATAGGGGTTCTATGGGGTTTCTATAGGGTTTCTATAGGGGTTCTATTGGGTTCTATGGGTTTTCTATAGGGTTTCCATAGGGTTTCTATAGGGGGCCTATAGGGTTTCTATAGGGGTTCCATAGGGTTTCTATGGGTTTCTATAGGGGCTCTATAGGGGTTTCTATAGGTGCCCTATAGGGTTTCTATAGGGGTTTCTATGGGTGTTCTGTTGGGTTTCTATAGGGTCTCTATGGTCTCTATAGGGTCTCTATAGGGTTTCTCTAGGGTCTTTATAGGGTCTCTATAGGGTTTCTATAGGGGTTCTATGGGATTCTCTGGGGTCTCTATAGGGTCTGTGTAGGGTCTCTATAGGGTCTGTATAGGGTCTCTATGGGGTCTCTATAGGGTTTCTATAGGGTCTCTATAGGGTCTCTATAGGGTTTCTCTAGGGTTTCTCTAGGGTCTCTATGGGGTCTCTATAGGGTCTCTGTAGGGTCTCTATAGGGTCTCTATGGGGTCTCTATGGGTCTCTATGGGGTCTCTATGGGTCTCTATGGGTCCCTATGGGTCTCTATGGGTCTCTATGTGTCTCTATGGGTCTCTATGGGTCTCTATGGGTCTCTATGGGGTCTCTATAGGGTCTCTATGGGTCTCTGTGGGGTCTCTATGGGTCCCTATGGGGTCTCTATAGGGTCTCTATGGTGTCTCTATGGGGTCTCTATGGGTCTCTATGGTGTCTCTATGGGGTCTCTATGGGTCTCTATGGGTCTCTATGGGTCTCTTTGGGTCTCTATGGGGTCTCTTTGGGTCTCTATGGGTCTCTATGGGGTCTCTTTGGGTCTCTATGGGTCTCTATGGGTCTCTATGGGGTCTCTATGGGGTCTCTATGGGTCTCTATGGGTCTCTATGGGTCTCTATGGGGTCTCTATGGGTCTCTATGGGGTCTCTATGGGTCTCTATGGGTCTCTATGGGTCTCTATGGGGTCTCTATGGGTCTCTATGGGTCTCTATGGGTTCTCTATAGGGTCTCTATGGGTCTCTATGTGTCTCTATGTGTCTCTATAGGGTCTCTATGGGTCTCTATGGGTCTCTATGGGTTCTCTATAGGGTCTCTATGGGTCTCTATGGGTCTCTATGGGTCTCTATGGGTCTCTATGGGTCTCTATGGGTCTCTATGGGTCTCTATGGGTCTCTATGGGGTCTCTATGGGGCTCCCCCCCTAACCCCTCCCCCTTTCTCTCCGCAGCCTTGGCCACTGGTGGGACCCTGCCCCTGCCCAGCCTTGAGCCGGGGGGGCCCCTGGTGTTGGGGGGCAGCGGGGGGGCCCCCAGCGCCCCCCCCATGGCCCCTCCCCCTCCCCCTCCCCCTCTTTTCCTCAACCAGAGCCCCCTCCCCCTCCTGGGGGCGCCCGCCCCTCCCCCACCCCCTCCCCCCACCCCCGTGGCCTTGGCCCCCCCATCCCCCTCCCCCTCCCCCTCCCCCTCCTGCTCCTCGTGCAGCTCCGACCCCTCCCCCACCCCCCCCATTGACGAGTAATGGGGGGAGGGGATCCCCCTCCCCCCCCTTTGCTACAGACCAAAAACACCCCCCTCCCCCTCCCCCCCCCCCATCCCCCCCCATTATGGGGTTGGACCAATCCCCTCCCCCCCCCACCATTCATTAAGGGTGGGGGGAGGGGGGAAGAAGAGGGAAAACCCCCCCTCCCCCCATCCCCCCATCAAAAGGGTGTTTTTTGGCCCTGGGGGGAGGGGAGGGGGGGAATAGTCCCAAAAAGTGATGATTTCACACCAAAAATCCTGCCCCTCCCCCCCCCCCCCCCCAAAGCTGATCCCAAAGGTTTGTACCAAACGTTCTGACCTCGTGAGAGCTGGGAAAGGGGGGGAGGGGGGGGGGGATGGGAAGAGGAAGTGGGAAAAGGGAGAGGAAGTGGAAATGGGAAAGGAAATGGGAAAAGGGAGAGGAAAAGGGAAATGGGAAAAGGAAGAGGAAATGGAAAAGAAAATGGGAAAAGAAATGGGAAAAAGAAAAAGTAAAGGCAAAGGGAAAAGGAAATGGGAAAAGGAAGAGGAAAAGGAAGAGGAAATGGGAAAAAGGAAGTGGAAATGGGAAAAAGGAAAGGGAAAGGAAAAGGAAAAAGGAAATGGGAAAAGGAAGAAGAATTGGGAAAGGAAATGGGAAAAGTAATGGGAAAAGGAAGAGGAAATGGGAAAAGGAAATGGGAAAAGGAAGTGGAAATGGGAAAAAGAAAAAGTAAAGGAAAAGGGAAAAGGAAATAGGAAAAGGGAGAGGAAAAGGAAGAGGAAATGGGAAAAAGGAAATGAAAAGGGAAAAGGAAATGGGAAAAGGAAGAGGAAAAGGGAAAGGAAATGGGAAAAGGAAGTGGGAAAAAGAAAAAGTAAAAGAAAAGGGAAAAGGAAGTGGGAAAGGAAATGGGAAAAGGAAGAAGAAATGGGAAAGAATAGGGAAAAGTAATGGGAAAAGGAAGAGGAAATGGGAAAAGGAAATGGGAAAAGGAAGTGGAAATGGGAAAGAGAAAAAGTAAAGGAAAAGGGAAAAAGAAATAGGAAAAGGGAGAGGAAAAGGAAGAGGAAATGGGAAAAAGGAAAGGGAAAGGAAAAGGGAAAAGGAAATGGGAAAAGGGAGAGGAAAAGGAAATGGGAAAGGAAATGGGAAAAGGAAGAGGAAATGGGAAAGGAAATGGGAAAGAAAATGGGAAAAGCGGAAAGGAAAAGGGAAAAGGAAGTGGGAAAAGGAGGAGGAAAAGGGAAAAGGGAGAGGAAATGGGAAAAAGAAAGGGAAAGGAAATGGGAAAAGTAATAGGAAAAGGGAGAGGAAGTGCGAAAAAGAAAAGGAAAGGAAAAGGGATAAGGAAATGGGAAAAGGGAGAGGAAAAGGAAGAGGAAATGGGAACAAGGAAAGGGAAGGGAAAAGGAAATGGGAAAAGGGAGAGGAAAAGGAAATGGGAAAGGAAATGGGAAAAGGAAGAGGAAATGGGAAAAGGGAAAAGGGAAAGGAAATGGGAAAAGGAAGAGGAAGTGGGAAAAGGAAGAGGAAAAGGGAAAGGAAATGGGAAAAGGAAGAAGAAATGGGAAAGAAAAGGGAAAAGTAATGGGAAAAGGAAGAAGAAATGGGAAAAAGAAAAAGTAAAGGAAAAGGGAAAAGGAAATGGGAAAAGGAAGAGGAAATGGGAAAAGGAAGTAGAAATGGGAAAGGAAATGGGAAAAGGAAGTGAAAATGGGAAAAGTAATGGGAAAAGGAAGAGGAAGTGGGAAAGGAAATGGGAAAAGGAAGAGGAAGTGGGAAAAAGAAAAGGAAAGGAAAAGGGAAAAGGAAGAGGAGAAAAGGGAAAGAAGAAGGAAAAGAGGGAAAAGAGGGAAATGGAGTGAAAGAATGAGGGAAAAGGGAAAAGGAAATGGGAAGAAAGGAATTTGAAGGGGAATAAAGAGGAAAAGGGGGAAATAAAGAGGAAAATGGGAAATAAAGAGGAAAAGGGGAAATAAAGAGGAAAAAGGGGAAATAAAGAGGAAAAGGAGGAAATAAAGAGGAAAAGAGCAAGGAAAAGTGGGAAAAGCAAAAGAGAGGGAAATAAAGAGGGAAAAGGTGGAAAATGGAAAAGGGGAAAAGGGGGAAAAAGTGGGAAAAGGCAAAAAAAAAGTAGGGAAAAATGGAAAGGAAAAGTGGGAAAAGGCCAAAAAGGAGAAAAAAAAAGTGAAAAAGAAGAAGAAAAAAGTGGAAAAAGGGAAAAAAAGAGGAAAAAGGGAAAAAAGAGAGGAAAAGGGGGAAAAAAAGAGGAAAAGGGGGAAAAAAGAGGAAAAGGGAAGAAAAAAGAACAAAGGAAAAAGCAGGAAAATGAGGAAAAAAGACCCCAAAAAAGGAAAAGGGAAAAAAAAAAGGCAAAAAATGCAAAAAAAAAAGGGAAAATGAAGAAAAAAGGGAAGAAAAAGGGAGAAAAGGAAAAATGAAGGAAAAAAAAGGAAAAACAAAGGAAAAAAAGGCAAAAAGAAGGAAAAAAGGACAAAAAACGACCAAAAAAAAAAGGCGGAAACACGGAAAAGAGACCAAAAAAAAGCCGAAACCAGCCAAAATCAGCCAAAAAACAGCCAAAAAACAGCCAAAAAACAGCCAAAAAACAGCCAAAAAACAGCCAAAAACCAAAAACAACCAAACCCCCCCTCAGTGCCTGACCCCCCCCTCCCCCACTGGACACAAATACCTCAAAGAGCCCCAAATCCCCCCAAAAGAGCCCCCAAATCCCCCCAAAATGACCCAAAATTGGGGGGCAGAAGGGGGGGAGGGGGCTTGACCCTGAATGTACCCCAAAACCCATTGGGGCTTTTGGGGGGGGGGGGAGGGGGAGTGAGAAAAAAAGGATGGAAATGGAAGGAAAAAGTGAAATTTAATGTTTTTGGGGGGTGGGGGAGGGGCGGACCCCCCCTTTTTGGGGCGTTTTGTGGGGTTTTGGGGTGGTTTTATATGGAAAACGAGCAAAAAGAAGAGGAAACGACCCCAAAAGTAACACAAAGGGTGGGGGGTGGGGTGGGGGGGGTGGGGAATGGGGTGAACCCCCCCAAAAAAGGGGGGAAGTGACCAAAAAAAAAGCATGGAAAAGAGCAAAAAAAAAAAAAATCGTGAAAAAGCCAAAAAAAAACGGGCAATTTCGCCCGAAAAATGCCAAAAAGCGGCGCAACGATGCCCCGAAACGCCGGAAAAAAGGACCAAAAAAAGGACAAAAAAAGGAGAAAAAAGACCAAAAAAAGGATAAAAAAAAGGAGGAAAAATGGAAAAAAATGGAAAAAATGGAAAAAAAGCAAAAAAAAAAAGACGGAAATGGTTAAAAAGGACAAAAAAAGGACAAAAACGGATGGAAACAGACAAAAACGACAAAAAAAAGGACAAAAGTGGCCCAAAAAGGACAAAAGTGGCCCCAAAAAGGACAAAAGTGGCCCAAAAAGGACAAAAGTGGCCCAAAAAAGGACTAAAGTGGCCCAAAAAGGACAAAAGTGGCCCAAAAAAGGACCAAAACCAGCCAAGATTGGCCCCAAATGGACAAAACCAGCTGAAAATGGCCCAAACTGGGCAAAATCGACCCAAAAAAAAGATCAAACCGGGCCAAAAACGGGCCCAAAAAGGACAAAAATGGGCAAAAAAAGGACAAAAATGGGCAAAAAAGGACAAAACTGGGCAAAAAAGGACAAAAACGGGCAAAAAAGGACAAAAACGGCCCAAAAAAGGGCGAAAACGGGCAAAAAGGAGGAAACGGGCCCGAAACAAGAACGGACTCAAAAACGGCCCAAAACGGCCCAAAAAAGGACAAAAAAAACTGCAGAAAAAAGAGAAAAAAAGGCCAAAAAACCAAAAAAACGCACCCAAACCTCAGCCAAAAAACCACCAAAAAAAGGATTTTTAGACCAAAAACGGCCCCCGGGGGAGGGGGGAGGAGGGGGAGGGGGGGACGACCCCCTCCCCCACCCCACCCCCCCCCCGGGTTAATTGCATTAATGAAGCTTTAATGAACGCTGCCAAACCAAATAGGGCCCGGGGGGGGGAGGGGCACCCGAAATACCTCAAATGCTATTGGAGAAACCAAATAGATTGGGGGAGGGGGAGGGACACAAAGAGGAAAGACCTCATTGGTCAAGGGGGTTGGAGGTCATTGTGACGTCATGGCCTTGAGGACCCCATTGGACAATGGGTTTGGAGGTCATTGTGACGTCATGGCCTTGAGGACCCCCATTGGACCTCGGTCTTGTTGACCTTCATGACGTCATGGCCTTGAGGACCCCATTGGTCAATGGGTTTGGCGGTCATTATGACGTCATGGCCTTGAAGACCTCCGTTGGAGAATGGGTTTGGAGGTCATTATGACGTCATGGCCTTAAGGACCCCATTGGTCAATGGGTTTGGAGGTCTTTATGACTTCATGGCCTTGAGGACCCCCATTGGACGTTGGTCTTGTTGACCTTCATGACGTCATGGCCTTGAGGACCCCATTGGTCAATGGGTTTGGAGGTCATTATGATGTCATGGCCTTGAGGACCCCCATTGGATGTTGGTCTTGTTGACCTTCATGACGATATGGCCTTGAAGACCCCATTGGTCAATGGGTTTGGAGGTCTTTATGACGTCATGGTCTTGAGGACCCCCATTGGGCCTCGGTCTTGTTGACCTTCATGACGTCATGGCCTTGAGGACCCCCATTGGACCATGGTGGTGGTGGCCTTTATGACGTCATGGCCTTAAGGACCCCATTGGTCAATGGGTTTGGAGGTCTTTATGACTTCATGGCCTTGAGGACCCCCATTGGACGTGGGTTTGGAGGTCTTGTGATGTCATGGCCTTCATTGGACAATGGGTT